CTCAGAACATTTTAACAGACCCGCTTCTCAGACCCTACACACAGGAGCGTACCACAGAAAGTCTGAGAGAGCCGTGCCACGTTCCGTCTGTCAGAAGAGTCTCGCAGACCGTCCTACAGACCGTCTCACAGACCGTCCCACAGACCGTCCCTCAGACCGTCTCGCAGACCGTCCCACAGACCGTCCCACAGACCGTCCCACAGACCGTCCCACAGACCGTCTCTCAGACAGTATTATCCTGATGACTGAAGTCTGGTTTGAACTAATGATTGTTTGAGAGTGGATCAGCCTTTGAGTAACCGAGTTAGCCTGACTTTAATCATTGGGATCATTTAAGCTGGCTAATAAGACATTTGATCGACTTAGTTGAACCATACGAGAAACGGGTCCCCGGTAGTTGATGTCCATGCGTGTTTACGTACAAGAACATGTGATCGTTGCCGTCCGGGATTGTTTTGGTATCTTGTTGAGGAAGAGAACCAGAACCAGTTACGAGTGTTCTGGTGTATGAACTCATCTGGTTGATCGTACTCACATTGTTATGTTCAGTGTGCACGTTTACTTGTTTCAGCTGGTTTCTATAACAGCGGCATGAACAGAGGGGTGTGGTCTCCTGTAGATGAAACCATAAAATACACATTTACTACCCGTCTGACTCTAACTTCACGCCTCGATCCAGTGATTAAATATTAATGCCTCTGGACCCAACCACATCTCTGTGTGAAGCTAAGCCCCGCCCCCTCGATTCCCATTGGGATCGAATAGCTCCCGCCCCCTCTCTCTCTCTCTCTCTCTGAGGCTCGGTGTCTCTCGACCTCTTTCTGACAGAACAATGTGTCGTTCACAATAATGGGATTACATCCAGCCGGCTGCCGCCCGCTCTCTCTCTCTCGCTCTCTCTCGCCCGGTAAACACGTTCTTTTAGTTCTTTCCGTTCATTTTTGGGAATGAAAGAAAGACGGATTGTTTCCTGAATAAAGTAAGTGCCTCTCTCTCTTTCTCGCCCACTCGCTCTCGTGATCAGAATTTGATTGACAGATGACTCTTGTTAATTGGGCTGTGATATAATCAGAGGAGTAGTAATCAGGTTGTGAAGAAGTTCCCTCTCACGTGTTCATTGTGTTGTTCTAGTCCCAACAATAAGTCACAAAGGTTACTCTGATATTATCAGTGATGTCATCCATGTCAGAAAAGACATTTTTCTGATTTCAATTCCTACTTTCATAGTTTTCTTTTCATCCAAAACATTTACAACAATAGGCAGTGAAATGAAAACCAAGAGCAGTTTCACCTTTTGCCGTTACCATTTGCTGATGTGATGTATTTATTCTGTATTTAACAGTAAATAAAGACATAGTAATTGTCTTAATGAGATGGAAAAACAATAATATATATATATCATTTAGGGTATGTATGTGGTACTAAAACCCTTCAACAGACTTATACTTAGAATTTGTTATATAATATTTAGAAGTTGATCCATAGAAGGCAGTTTGTGCGGACCAGTGATCAGGACTAGTGGTTGGACCAGTGAGGAGGACCAGTGATCAGGACTAGTGATCAGGGCTAGTGATTAGGACCAGTGATCAGGACCAGTGAGGAGGACCAGTGATCAGGACCAGTGATTAGGACCAGTGATCAGGACCAGTGATTAGGACCAGTGATTAGGACCAGTGATTAGGACCAGTGATCAGGACCAGTGATCAGGACCAGTGATCAGGACCAGTGATTAGGACCAGTGATCAGGACCAGTGATTAGGACCAGTGATCAGGACCAGTGATCAGGACCAGGGAGGAGGACCAGTGATCAGGACCAGTGATTAGGACCAGTGATCAGGACTAGTGATTAGGACCAGTGAGGAGGACCAGTGATTAGGACCAGTGATTAGGACCAGTGATTAGGACCAGTGATCAGGACTAGTGATTAGGACCAGTGAGGAGGACCAGTGATTAGGACCAGTGATTAGGACCAGTGAGTTGTGTTATAACAGTAGGCAGTGTTATTGCAGTGACTTGTGTGAGATTATATCCTGTCATGTGATCTCCTGCTTATCAAAATCATGTACACATTCTGCTAATTGAAGAGGAGGTAATATATTTGTACACACACACACACTCTCACACACATACTCAGACAGATGTGTGTGGGAGAGGTGATGAGTGGTAATGATATTGATGCTAATTCCCTTACCTTGTGAGTGTATTTGTGAGGGTGTGGGTGTGTGTGTTTGTTGGCGAGATTTTTTAATATTTAATGTTGTCAGTAAAATGCTAATAACGTACAGTAGAAATGATACATTAGTGGACAGATTACTACTAGACTACAGTAGAACATTGACAGTAGAACCTTGACTGGACAGAAGAATCTGTGCTCTGCCTGCAGGAATATCATGGATGCCCTGACTAGGACATGCTTAACCTGCGCTTAGTCCTGTGGTGATGATTTGGATGAACTGGTTGACGTAACATGTTCATATGCTATCTTTGGTAGGGACATGGTCATTCCTTGTAAACAAACCATGGGTGACCAAATCTGTTAAATCCAGCTGACAGAATAATAAACTCTTTTAAACAAGGAGTAGCCTCTGATCTGCATTGTTTTCAAAAGCAAAACTGAAATATAAAACTGATCCAGAGAAGAAGATGGTTTCAAACAACCTTTGCTCAGCCCGGTTTAGCATGAAAACTGAAGCAGGCCTCAGGAACCCAAAGGACAGCGGTCGTGTCACTTTGGACGACCTCTGGGGTCCTCGTGTACGTACATTTACAAACGTAGCGTTATCAGCGCCGCGCAAACCTCGTCTCAGCGCTCGCTGATACTTCAGTTTACGTCGTATTTACAAACCTGCAGCTCATCAGGTGATCAGCGCCTTTCTCCGCCCACTAAGCCGCGCATTGCGAGCATTTAAACGCGTACCTCAGCGGCCTCCTCCTCTCTTTCTATCACGGATCAGCCAAAGTCAAAACAGCAAAAACTAAAATCCAGTGACACTGAAGCCGGTGTGTTATTTGGGCATCAGTGGTGGAAATGTGTAGTGCGCTGCAGCAAAGCGTTGTGTACTGGTGCTGTGATGCGGCTGAGTGCAGACTGAGAGACGGCTTTTAACACTATTCAACCCCATATTTAAGCCAGTTGGCTTTCAGAACAATTTGCTGTTAGGAGGACCTGTGATTAGGACCAGTGATCAGGACCAGTGATCAGGACCAGTGGTTAGGACCAGTGATTAGGACCAGTGATTAGGACCAGTGATCAGGACCAGTGGTTAGGACCAGTGATTAGGACCAGTGATCAGGACCAGTGGTTAGGACCAGTGATCAGGACCATGTCCGGGATGCGGGTGGGAGGCAGGACTCAAAATGCAGACTTGCAGGAACAAAAGGGCTTTAATAGTCAAAGGTCAAAAAATCCAAAAGGCCAAGGGGCAAAAACACACAGGCATGCAACTACAGACACCCACAACAAGGGACACGGACATGCGTGGCGAAAGACAATGACGCGACAAGGGACACAGGAGACACACGGCTTAAATACACAAGGGAGGTGCAGGTGATTGGACACAGGTGGAAACTATTAGACCATCACAGGGGATGACGGGACAAGGCAGGAAGTGAAGTTACCCGGGAACACGAGTGGCAGAAAACTACAAAATACAACAGGAAGTGAACCACACCGTGACAGACCAGGGATCAGGACCAGTGATTAGGACCAGTGGTTAGGACCAGTGATTAGGACCAGTGATCAGGACCAGTGATCAGGACCAGTGGTTAGGACCACGGATCAGGACCAGTGGTTAGGACCAGGGATCAGGACCAGTGGTTAGGACCAGGGATCAGGACCGGTTTTTGTTCCCTGGACACAAAACAGTGAAGCCATTAAAGAGGAGTTCCACTGGATGCACCTGAATAAAATACATTATAGGTCCAATATCATTGTACCAGTTTTTACCAGCAAGATTGTGTGTGTATTTCCAGCCTGTGTGTAGTGCATTCTGACAAACAGTGTAGTGTCAACTCTGAGTCAACCTACTCCAAGTCGATTGAAAAAAACAGCTGTTTTGAAACCCCAAACTCAGAGTTTCCCCTCTCAGGGTAAATCAACTCAGGAGTTTAGGGTTTGACTCAGAGTTTGTTAAACCTCCTACTTGAAACGGACACAGCCCGTCATCTTCAATTAAACGTATCTAAAACCAAAGATCATTGATTTGATGAACCTTTGTGCATTAACGGTCAGACAGTAGAATGTGTACAATCGTACAAATATCTTGGGACAATGATCAACACAAAACTGAACTTTGAAGCAAACTGTGTAGTCGTCAGTCATATTTCCACATAGAAACTCTGTAGCAAACTGTGACACGGTCGAGGAGGCTGAGGTGAGTCACAGCTTAACTTGGAGTCCCTGAACAACGGATAACTGGCTCCAATTTAAAGGACGACACTTTTCACAGCTTCAGCTGCCTCCTTCTAGACGGAGGTCCGTGGTCCCACGGTGCAGAACAACGCGCCACAAGCTTTGTTCCAGCAGCCACCTCTCAGGTGAACAAATCATAGCAACAGTGCCCGATGCTACAGAAACGCTAGTGTACTTATTTATTGTATTTATTGATGGATTTGTAGCCTTGTGTACTTGTGTCTGTGTTGTTTGCCTCGCTCTCAGATCAGGTTTATCTACAGGTACGAATACAAGTAACCGGAACTTGACTTGTGAAATAGTTTGACTAAAATGTGTTCTAAAAATGGTTCTGATGGACCTGGTTCTCCATGAGTAGATGGGACCTTCTCTCTGTGTCCTTTGATACTTCAAAGCCTCTGTTGATGTTCCCCTCCAGCAGTGAGATCTGAGCCTGCCTCTTAATCTGATCTGGGATCTGCTGTTATTCTCTTATGATCCTCCTCTTCTGTCCCGGATTAAACTGAGATTCTATAATTCTTCTTATTCTGATCTGCCTGTCAAACACTTCTGTGTTTACGTGTTGGAACAAACAGGTTTAATCCAGATTAGAGGCACAGAGGCAGGAATAGAAACTGAGAATCAGCTCCTTTCAGACCGGATCGTCATTGACCCAGAATCACGCAGAGACTCCTGATCCAGAATCACGCAGAGACTCCTGATCCAGAATCACGCAGAGACTCCTGATCCAGAATCACACAGATGAAGGTGACTTAACGTGTGTGTGTGTCACTGTTGTCACTTCCCTTTTCCCTCCCTACGTCTCTCAGAGCGCGCAAACATTCATAAACTCACCAGGGGAGTGTGTCTTCCAGTGCGGATGTGTGTGTGTGTGTGTGTGTGTGTGTGTGTGTGTGTGTGTGTGTGAGCAGAAAAAACTAAGACAAAGAAGGAAAATCAACCAAAAACAAAACAGAGACTAACAGCTGACTCACATGGAGGTACTTCTAACAGAAGTAATGTAAGCAGTACTAACAGATAGTACTCTATTTGGCAATTCGAATATTTAGTACCCCTTGTATTACTGCATACTTGTAATAGTTAGGAGTACTTCGTTCTAAACACAGTACTAAGAGATAGTACTCTGTCTGTACTTCTAATAGATCATACTACATGTAGTCACCAGTACCTCTAACATATAGTAATGTGCTTAGTACACTGATGTCCGTTGATGAAAAGTGCACGTGTGGGAGCAGAACTGCCATTTACACTGGATACATACAGTGGATAGATAGTACTCCCATCATCTCATGTTCCCTGATATTGTCTCTTAATCTCATGTTTACCTCATATTGTCTAATGATACCAGCAGCTGACTGAAGGTCCTTGATGACGTCATCACTGCCATGGACAACAGACAGACCTGTGTAGCTGCCTTTATAGACCTAGCCAAGGCTTTTGACTCAGTCAACCATAACATTCTCCTGCAAAGACTCACATCGGCTTGTCCAGTGGACGTTGCAACTGGTTTTGTTCTAGATTAATATTAATGATGTAGCCAAAGCCGCTGGAAATTCCTGTATTCATCTGTATGCTGATGACACCATCATATATTCAGCTGGTCCCCCACTTCACTCTGCTGTGTCCATTCAACAAGTCTCACCTCCATCCAACAGTCTTTCCACAACCTCCACCTGGTCCTCAATTCCAAAAAGACCAAATGTATGCCTTGTCGAAACAAGGCCTCCTTCACACACTCTGCCAAATTCACCCTTGTGAAAATGACGAATCCTTCGTCTATTTGACTATGGCGATATATCATTTATATATGGACACACTCCACCACTCAACAATCCGATTTGCCACAAGTGCACCTTTCACCACCCACCACTGTGATCGTTACAGATTGGTGGATTGGCCCTCCCTTCACGCCAGGCGACTGGCTGCTCGTGGTCTACTAATCATTTTGGGAATGACCTCTCAAATCGTCTGCACATTTCCGACAGCAATCACCATTTAAGTTCCAGTGACTTCATTCAGGCATCATTCCAAAATCCGTACTGTGTTCCAGTCATCTGCCTGTTTTGTTCATAGTGTTTATTAACTTAACTGTGTTTTTTAGCAATTTGTGTTTGTCACACTGTATTGTGTCTGCGTTACTCGTGTGCACTGTGCTACTGCTACTTGGCCCGGTCATCATTGTGAATGAGAAGTGGTTCTCAATTGATTTTACCTGGTTAAATAAAGGACAAATAAATAAAAATACCTCATAAAGGTTGTTTTATTGATGAAGGTTTCACTTGATCAGAAACGTGGATGATGAGCGTTGACCACGCCCACATTTGCTGTGTACGGTCACTTCTTTTAAAAGCTATGAGAGGAAGTAGGACACAGTAAGGGAGGGTCCCCGAGAATGAGGAGGAAGAATGGAACAAAGAGAAGATGCACACACACACACACACACACACTTCCACAGCTGTAAGTGTGTGTGTGTTGGTGTCTTTGAAGAGTCAGCAGCAAACCACAGAGATAATATGGGGGTGGAAGTGTGTGCGTGTGTCTGTGAGTCTGTAGGTGAGGCAGCCTATAATCATCACCTCGACGTGTTGAAAGCAGCTTGTTCATTTACATAGAGAGAGGAAATGGGGGGAGGGATGGAGGGAGGAATGGGGGGAGGGATGGGGGGAGGAATGGGGGGGCACAAACTGCTTCATTTAACGAAGTAAAAATGTTGAATGTTCATCACAAACCCTCCAGATCACGCAGCTTCGAGATGCAACGTTTTTCTTCTTCTGGGGCTCTCATCTGGTCTCATTGCCAACGCATCCTGGACACAGTGTCTCTTCATGATCCCAGGGGTGAAGAGGACATTACAGGAGTCCTCTAGGAGGTCCCATACAAGCTACTTTTCAATCAACCAAGTGATGGCGATGTAGCAACACTCGCTGGCTGCTCATGGTCCAGATCTTGGTGTTCTTGTGGTCCTGGTGGCCCAGATCAGCCTTGTGCAGGAGGTCTACTGGGTGGCAGAGACACATCTAGCTGGTCAACGTGGAGCCTGTGTAGGGCCGAACCAAAGCAAAGATACTGAAGCACGGTTCTATTTAACCGGGCCGAGTCTCGTACTCTCATGAGAGTTTAAGAACCTGGGTTACTGTTGAGTTACCTACGATTCAGGATTCACCCCCTGCTGTCAGGAAGGACACGGACACAGAAGGAGAGAGACAGAAGGACATTCAGAGAGAGAGAGACATGCAGACAGAATTCAGTATCAAACATTCTTTTCTCTCTTCTTTTTACTCAATCTTGAATTTAGCACTTCATCCCCTCCGGCTCTCCCCCCTCTCCCCCCCCTCTCCCCCCTCTCCCCCCACAGACACGCACACATCGTCCTTCTGTCCTTGTCTCTTTCTTACAACTTTAAACTCGTTTTACTTCATAACAACCTACAGCTGTCTTCCTGAATTTGAATTACAGATGAACCGCTCGCTCTCCATCAGGCTGAAGGAGGAAGTTATTACCATACAGACACACTGACTGTGTGTGTGTGTGTGTGTGTGTGTGTGTGTGTGTGTGTGTGTGTGTGTGTGTCCTGGGGCCCCTCTGGCTGCTTCCCAGCATGCACTGGGGCAAGTTAGACAGAGAGTTCTGAAGCAGCACACAGCAGGAGGGAGGGATGGTGGAGGGAGCAGGAGAGAGAGGGATGAATAGCGAGTGTTACCCAACAAACGACATCATCAACAACCTGATAAATCAATGGATATATTCAATAAAGGAATATCATATAAGAGATGTATTCAATAAAGAATATATCCATGGTTATTGCTGGAGGCTTTGCTGACCACGTAGAGCGTCTAACCCGGGTTTACAGAGTAACCTCTTTTCTACAAAGTCAAATAGATATTATCTTTAATACTATATCTCATACATCTCATACATCTCAATAAATGACATATTTGAGATGTATTGGATATGAGATGTGAATTATAAGATATATGAGTAACAAGATGAGATCTAAGATGTATGACATAAATGAGATATGATTTATAAAAATGGGATTATGGGATTTTTGTTATGAGATATGACATGGACCCCTTTCACTCCGTTGCCGTAGATACGGGTGTGTTGCCATGGTGACGGTGCTACAGGCAATCACAGTTCGACCATCAGAGGAAAAGAGTGGAGCAGCAAAATATTTAAATAACTTAAAATAGAGCAGAGCGAGTGTAGAGACCAGATCTGTTTCACCTGCTCAGACGTGTGGTCACCTGTGTTACCTGATGATGTACACCAGGTTAAACACATCAGTTCCTCCTGACAACACAACTGGTTCCTCGTACTCCTCTCATTGTTTGTCTCTTGTCCTTCGGATTGTACATATATATATGTATGTATTTATTGTTGTATGTTTCTCTCTCACCTGTTACAGGTAAAGAGGAGCTGCCATGTTGGCCTCCTCTATTCCCACATCATTCCTCCTTCTTCTGCTCCTCCTCCCCCCTCCATCCCACTCTGTTGATTTCCCCGTGACCTCTGACCCCTTGGTGTGGTGGATGGAGGAGCATGGCGCCTCTCTCTCTCACCTGGTGCTGGACCCGGAGGTGGGGCATCTCTATGTGGGCGGGGTCGACCACCTGTATCAGCTGACCTCTGACCTGGAGATGATGTCACACGTAAGGACCGGCCCTTACTTAGACTCCCCAGACTGCCTACCCCCCATCGTCCCACAGGACTGTCCCTCAGCGCAGCCCACTCACAACCACAACAAACTGCTGCTGGTGGAGGCGGGGCAGGAGGAGGGTCCAGGCTGCTTGATCGTCTGTGGTTCGCTCTTTCAGGGAATCTGTGATAAAAGGTAACTCACTTACTCTGTTCGTGCCCTGTAACTCTGTCCAGATGTTCGTACCTGCGTGCCCTGTAACTCTGTCCAGATGTTCGTACCTGCGTGCCCTGTAACTCTGTCCAGATGTTCGTACCTGCGTGCCCTGTAACTCTGTCCAGATGTTCGTACCTGCGTGCCCTGTAACTCTGTCCAGATGTTCGTACCTGCGTGCCCTGTAACTCTGTCCAGATGTTCGTACCTGCGGGCCCTGTAACTCTGTCCAGATGTTCGTACCTGCGTGCCCTGTAACTCTGTCCAGATGTTCGTACCTGCGTGCCCTGTAACTCTGTCCAGATGTTCGTACCTGCGTGCCCTGTAACTCTGTCCAGATGTTCGTACCTGCGTGCCCTGTAACTCTGTCCAGATGTTCGTACCTGCGTGCCCTGTAACTCTGTCCAGATGTTCGTACCTGTGTGCCCTGTAACTCTGTCCAGATGTTCGTATCTGTGTGCCCTGTAAGAATTCACAAATCATCAATGAGGATGATCTGAGATGACCTCTGACCTCTTCTCTGCTCTCTAGGAGTCTGTCCAACATCTCTCAGCTCATCTATCGGACCACCAACCCAGTCGACACTCAGTACGTTGCCGCCAATGACCCTCGCGTCTCCACCGTTGCCGTAGTGATAACCACGGAAAACAAACAGGCGGGAGGTGGGGCTGGTGGCGTCCTGCGCCTGATGCTGGTTGGTCGAGGCTACACTAGTAAAGGTCCCGGCGACATCCCTCCAATCACGACGCGGCGTTTGTTCCCGGTGCTCCCGCCTCGCCGGGCCTTCTCTCAGGAGGAGGAACTGGGCAAACTGGTGGTGGGAAGCTACTCTGAGTACAACAACCACTTTGTCAAGGCCGTCGCCCACGGCAACCACGTCTACTTCCTGTTCTCTCGGCGGGACATGTGGCACAAGAAAGAGTACCGGACCTACGCCTCCCGGCTCTGCGCCTCTGACCGAAGCTTCTACTCCTACGTGGAGGTCCCGCTGCTGTGCGGAGAGTACAACCTGGCTCAGGGGGCGTGGCTGGGGAAGCATTCAGGAAACGCCACCCTCTTCATCGTGATGGCAGCCGGACAAGCTTCCACACCCGTAGCAACCGGGCGCTCTGCGCTGTGTGTTTATGGGATGGCGGAGCTCGACGCCATGCTGCGGCGAGCACAGGAAGTGTGCTACACAGAGGGAGGAAGAGGAAGTAGCGGACAGGAAGAGGCTTACATCGAATACGCCGTGTCATCAAAGTGTCTGAAATTACCCAAGGTACAAACACAACATGCTCAGGATGCAATGACATCAGAACCTCCTTTAGTATGACATCATCAATCATCACATCACGTCCATCCATCTCTGTAAGCATGTACAGCTGGTTGGCCATATCTCACTGACCTTAATACTGTGTGTGTGTGTGTGTGTGTGTGTGTGTGTGTGGATTAGAGCGGTTGTCTTCAGCAGCTGGATTTACCGTCGCACAGCTGTCTCTAATCTCACACACACTAATACACACACACACATGCAGTAACACACACATGTGGCTGCAGCACATGTAACATGTAATTGGAAACGATCAAATGTCTTCTCATCTATGATTGATCACAATGCAAACATCTGACACATTTATGACGACTGTTCTTTTAACTGTTCATTTTGAGACAGTAACTGGTCAGCGTGTAGGGCGATGGTGGTGCGAGTAGAGAGGGTGCGTCGGGAACTGAAAGGTTAGCGGTTCAAACCCCGGCTGCTCGAAGTGTCCCTGAGCAAGACACACTAATTGCCCCCTGGACAAAATGTAAAAAAAAACATGCAATGTGAGTCTCTCTGGATAAACGTGATGTAATGCGTCACAGGGTTAGTTAATAATAATTAATACAATAAAATAATAACAATAATATTCACGGATGTCCCTGAATTTATGTTTTTAAAAAACATTATTGAAACGTTCTCTCTCCGTTCACGTACCAGGACTCTCTGTACGAGTACCCCTGTGGGGGGGAGCACACCCCCAACCCCATCGCCAGCACCGTGCCTCTCCGGGCCACGCCCACTGTCACCTCCACCACCCAGCTGACTGCCGTCACCACGGCAACAGAGGCTGGACATACCATCGCCTTCCTGGGAGACGTAGAGGGGCGACTGCACAAGGTCTTCTTTATGCTAAGCTAAGCTAACCAGCGGCATGCTGGGCACTGACACATTACCCAATGCATGCTCTCTGTCCGCTGGTGGAGGCGTGTTCATCTATGCAGCGCGCGCCTCTGTATCACACACACACACACACATACACCTACACAGAGACACACACACACCTACACAGAGACACACACACACACACCTACACAGAGACACACACACACACACACACACACCTACACAGAGACACACACACACCTACACAGAGACACACACACACACACACACACACCTACACAGAGACACACACACACACATACTGAGTGGCAGCTTGTAGCCGGCGGGTCTTTGTCACCAAAACAATACGTACATAGACTGTGTGTGTGTGTGTGTGTGTGTGTGTGTGTGTGTGTGTGTGTGACTAACAGACGTTTAGCTCGGGGCAGGGTGGAGGTAGGTGGAGGAGGGTGTCACGAGGGAGGGTGCTCAGACCCTTGTTGTGGATCAGTTATCGGTCCCCAATGTGCACGATGGGCAAGAATCCAGCAGATGCCTCTGAAACATTGTGTGTGTGTGTGTGTCTGTGTGTGTGTGTGCTAGTAAGTGTGTGTGATTAAATATTAACAGGGAGAATCAAAGCTTTGCTGTTTAACTCACAAGGCTCAGAGGCAGGATTAGACCTCGCTAACACACACACATGGATGCAACATACACAGACACACAATGGTATCACACACATATATATGTAACATACACAGACACACAATGGTATCACACACATATATATGTAACATACACAGACACACAATGGTATCACACACATATATATGTAACATACACAGACACACACATGAAGTCGTCCATCAGCTGATCAGTGATCATGTGACTGAACACCAGCTCCACCTGGTGGCACCACGTTCTCCTCCTCCTGGTGTCTGATGATAACCCCACTGTGTGTGTTGCAGGTGTTGGTGCGCTCTGATTGGTCAGGACGTCTCTACGGTAGTGTGATGGTGGACAAGGGGGGGGTCGTCAGGGCTGACCTCTTATTGGACAACATCCAGAAACACGTTTATGTTTTAACGAATAGAAAGGTGAGACACCGTCCATCTGTCTGTCTCTCTGTCCATGGATTCATTACATTTCATTTAGCTGATGCGTTTATCATTCAACCATAAGGAACAAGAAACAAGAAAGTGAAATTTCATGGCCAATCTACAACTTGGTGGTCTGAAGAGGTGTGTCTTTAGTCTGAAGATGTGAAGGCTCTCTGTGGTCCTGATGTCTTCAGAGACCTCCTTCCACCATTTAGGAGCAGGACAGCAAAGAGAGGAGATCTAGTCGAGTGTTTTGCTCTCAGTGAGGAGGAACAAGCAGTTTATCACATGCAGAGCGGAGAGTGCGGGTCGGGGTGTCGGGTTGGACCAGGTCCTGGATGTAAGCTGGACCCCATCCATTCACAGCATGGTACCTGAGCACCATGTTTAGAACTGGATGAGCCACCGGTACCAGTGAAGAGAGCGGAGGAGTGAGGAGTGAGGGAGAACTTAGGAAGGTTAAAGACCAGTGGAGCTGCTGCATTCTGGATTGAGCTGCAAGAGGTTGAAATGGTGGTAGCCAGCAGACCTGCTGGAGGGGAGTTACAGTAGTCCCAGGAGGGAGGACGACAAGAGCCTGAATCAGTACTCTTGAGTGAGAAGAGGACGTGTTCTCCTCATGTTGTAGAGCGAGTATCTACAGGATGGTGTTGTCAGTGATGTTGGAGTCAGGAAGAGTCGGCTGTCGACGTCACGCCGAGGTTCCTGCAGTCAAAGTGGGCGTTAACACGGAGTCTCAAAGTTAACAGTCAAGTTCTGTGAAGGAGAATCTTTTCCCGGAAAGAGAAGTAGTTCAGTCTTGTCGGGGTTGATTTTCAGATGGTGGGCGGATCCACTGAGAGACGTCAGTCAGACAGGCAGAGATCCGAGTGAGGGAAGGAGAGAATTAGTTGGTGTCATCAGCATAGCTGTGGTAGGAGAAGCGAGCGAATGACAGCGCAGAGAGAGTTGGTGTAGAGCGAGAAGAGGAGGGGACCCAGGACGGAACCCTGAGGAACTCCAGTAGTAAGAGGACAAGGTTCCGACACAGATCCTCTCCAGGTTACTCGGTAGGTGCCTCCGTCGAGGTAGGACGAGAGAAGCGAGAGAGCAGAGCCTGAGACACCAAGTTCCTGAAGGGAGGAGACAAGGATCTGCTGGTTGACTGTGTCAAATGCAGCAGAGAGGTCCAGAAGGACGAGGACAGAGGAGAGAGAGGAGCTCTAGCAGTGTGGAGCTGCTCTGAGACAGCGAGGAGAGCAGTCTCTGTGGAACGGCCTTGAAGCCTGACTGGTGGGGGTCAAGGTGGTTGTTATGGTGGAGATAGGAGGAGAGCTGGTTAAAGATCACACGTTCAAGAGTTTTGAACACAAAGATTCACTTGCCTGACTTTTCTTTTGTGAAAATAATTAAAACATTGAATCAAATGGACCTCTGATCTGTTTCCTTTCTCTCAGCTATCAAAGGTTCCTGTGTCCACATGTGAGAGACAGACAGACTGTCAGTCATGTCTGTCTCTCAGAGACCCATACTGTGGCTGGTGTGTACTGGAGGGACGGTAGGTCTCTCTCTTTCTTTCTGTCTTTGTCTCTCTCTCTCTCTCTCCCTCCCTCCCTCCCTCTGTCTCCCGGTCTGTCGCTCTCCGTCTGTCTGTCTTTCTTCAATAATTAAAGTAAAAATGTTTACCTGTTGCTCCAGATGTTCCCGTAAGACCCAGTGTCATCGTCACATGCAGCTCAACCATTGGCTTTGGAGCTTTGAACCGACCAATCAGTGTGTGACAGTTCAGAGCCTGAGGCCGTCCAATCAGAGCAAGGACGAGCAGACACCGGTATGCCATTGGACACACTACTTTGATTTTGCTGAATGGACTCTTGTCCTGGTGACACATTCGTATTCACATCTCTATCTCCAAGGTAACGATGGTAGTTGTCCAGCTTCCCTCTCTCACGGATGCAGAGTCTCTGTCCTGCGTCTTCGGGCTCCTCCCACCTCAGCCCGCTCGCGTCACGGCAACAAGCATTACCTGTCAATCACCTGCTCCGGAGCTCCTCCCACCTATGCTGAAAGGAAGTGGTGAGTGAACAAAAGAAGGTTTATGAGTGTTTCCTGTGGATGTTGCATGTGGACAGACTGTGAAGCCTCAATCTGTATGTACGACATAGTACGTACTACGTAGTACCTACTACGTAGTATGTACGACATAGTACGTACTACGTAGTACCTACTACGTAGTATGTACGACATAGTACGTACTACGTAGTACCTACTACGTAGTACGTACTACCTACTCCTTCACTATGTACTACCTGGTACATCCTACGCTCTTTGGAGCCAAATCCAGGCCAAAGGTTTTGATCATTTGAAAAACAAGTTTTGGTCTCAAACATTGAACGAAAAGTGTTATTGGGTTGAATACAGTTGTGACTCAGTTCTTACATTTATTCAGAGATATCAGAGATTCATGTGTGGTTGTTGGAACAATCTGAGATAGTTCATTGGTCTTATTCTGCGATTCATGGCGAGTAGGATCCAAAACAGCTGGTTGTCTCTGGTTTTACATCCAATCTTAAATAAAATCTCATAGAGGGTTGATTCATTACAGGTCATTAACTCACACTTTTATCCAAAGTCACTTACAATACATTTTTAATCCATGGATTTATATATTTTTGCCCAGGGAGCAATTAGGGGTCAGGTGTCTTGCTCAGGGACACTTGGACATGGGACACGGAGCAGCCGGGGCCTTGCGGTTCCGAGGTACCCTCCCTACCTCTGCACCACATCGACCCTTCATAAGCGTCTCCTGAAGGCTTTCAGCCTGCTGTCACTCATGATTACACGCCCCCTCAGTTGACCCGCCCGCTACGCCACATTTGAAACTTGAAAATATAAGATTTAAAGATATGAATCAGATATTTGAAGATATAAAATCTGCAACAGAAAAATATACTACAGCGAATATTAAATTATATATTTTATTCCTAAAAATTAAAGAACTGAGGTGAAACTTTATTCAACCCAAAAAATACTTTTTATCCACTCATCCATTTTTCAATGTTCAAGACGAACTTCAACTTTCAGGTTCAGCTGTTTTGATCAAATGATCAAAACCTCGATTTGGCTTCATAACGCTCTACTTACTACATCAGTATATACTATGCATAGTACATACTACGTGCTGCATACTGCATACATTATCAGTGTAATACATACCAGTGGTGGAACGTTCAGCAAAGCCTCTTCTGCTGGCCTAAACACAATCACAAAGTCATATCTATTTCATCATTTACGTTTTTAAATAAATGCTACACACAGTTTACACATTTGATCATCATCGTATTCTCTGCTCAGCTGCTGTCTTCATCTGTTGATTCCCGTGCAGCTGGTTTTAAACAGAGCTTTTATCCAATCAGATTCAGCCCCTGTGTGTCCATGTGAGAGAGGCCTGAGGGCCTCTAGGTAGACTTTACACATCAAAGTACTATATATACTATGTATACTATGTACTACTTAGTGACTGATGCTTGATCCAGGCTCACTGATGGCAGAACCAAGAAGGAGGACTCCTAGTATCTTCTCCTCAAGAGTTCACACTTCTTCTTCATGATTCCAGATCACATGGTCCTGCCCGTGTCATTGGTCTTTGGTCATGTGACCATCACCACAGGCCACATGACCTTCTACGACTGTGGAGCTGTAAGCCGCCTGAACCAGAGCTCCCAGTAAGAACTAGTATACACCCAGTACAGTCTCTATGCATAACGGTGGGGGTGTGATGATGATGAGGAGGATGATGATGGTGATGATGGTGATGATGGTGA